CAGCAGAGGATCGGGCAACAACGTTTTGCTTTTTGCTTTTCCATGAAATGATATTTCCTCCAAGGAAAACACAATAGGCCGTAGTGGAACGCCTATCCATAGGAGATCCAGACTCGAGTCAAGCATCACGAGTACTCCAAAAATTTGGGTATTTCCCTTATCTTCATATAATAATCCTTGTCCTGGAGCTTTTTTAATGTATCTTAAGATTCGAATGATAGCATTCCAATGATCCACACAAGGAGCTTGCATAAATTGGCCGACAACACCAACTGCAAAAGACAAATCGAGTCTAGTAATCGTCAAATAAATAAGTTTCCCAACCAGTCTTCTATATCTTTCACGGGTCGAGAAAACTTCACCCCGTCCCGCCATTAACTTCAAATTTGGATCCATAGGACTCGTCCACAGGTTTGCAATCAATCATACCTGTCTCTTTTAGAATATCTAGAGCATACTTCCTTTGAGAGATGACAATACCTTCTCTTGATTGAGCTACTTCAATACCCAAGAAATATTTTAGATTTCCAAGATCCTTGGTCTCGAAAATGACTACACAAGTGTTCTTTTAGCTGAGATATTTTAGCGAAGCATCATTCCCTGTGATGACAATATCATCAACGTACACAATTAAATAAACATGTTTGCCAGGGCAGTGTGACAAAAAACACTCGAATGATCTGCTTCGCTGCGTTTTAATCCAAAAGCTTGAACAATAGAGCTGAATTTTCCAAACCAAGCACGTGGAGACTCGTTTTAGGCCATAGAGGGATCGACGTAATTTACAAACCAAACCAGACTCCCTCGAGCAACAAATCCAGGAGGTTGCTCCATGTAAACTTCTTCTTCTAAGTCACCGTGCAAAAAAGCATTTTTAATATCCAATTGATGAAGAGGCCAATGACGAATGGCGGCCATGGCAAGGAACAAGCGGACAAGTGGTCATTTTGGCTACCTGGAGAAAAAGTATCACAATAATCAAGCCCATATATTTGAGAATACCCTTTAGCTACTAACCTTGCTTTAAGACGATCAACCCGACCATTGGGCCCAACTTTAATAGCATAGATCCAACGACAACCAACTGTTTTCTTTCCGAAGGGAGAGGAACAAGCTCCCATGTTTTGTCTGTGATCAAGAGCCCGCATTTCGTAAATCATGGCTTGTCGCCATCCAGGATGATCAAGCGCTTCGACCACATTTTTAGGAATTGTAATAGAGGAGACAGAGGAAATAAAAGAACAATAGGAAGGAGACAATCTATGATAACTAAGAAAATTGTAAATGGGATGAGGATTACGAGTAGAACGAGTACCTTTACGAATGGCAATGGGCCAACTGGAGTCATCGTTATCAGGAGCCGTGGTATTAGAGGATGATGGTGAAGGACCCGTTATGGATGGCTCATCTTGGGGAATAGGATTGTTCACCTGGTTCCTGCGTTGATAGGTGATGATAGGTCGTGATGCCGATTCTAGAGTATTTTGGTTGGGATTTGGGGTGTCGGGAATAGGAAGTACAACCGATTCAACTAAGGGAACAGGAAACACATTTTGGACAGAATCAATATCCTGCATAGAATAAGGAAAGAAGGATGATGATTCAAAAAAGGTGACATTAGCAGACATGTAATACCTCTTGGTTTCAGGAGAATAACACCGATATCCTTTTTGAAGACGAGAATACCCCAAGAAGACACATTTGATAGTTCTAGGTAAGAGTTTATCTAAGCCAGGAGACATGTCATGAACAAAACATATACATCCAAATACTTTAGGAGAAACATGAAAAATTGGTTCCTTTGGAAATAGAATGGAGTGTGGAACTTTATTATCAAGAGAAGAAGATGGCATTCTATTAATGAGAAAGCATGCAGTTAGAATAGCATCTCCCCAATGATGAATAGGCATATTGGCACCCAATAACAAGGTACGAGCAGTTTCAACCAAATGTCTATTCTTTCGTTCTGCTATACCATTTTGCTGTGGTGTGTGAGGACACGTGGATCGGTGTAAAATGCCTTGAGAATTTAGGACATTAGAAAAATCAAGTAGAAAAGTACTCTTTGGCATTATCACTTCGTAAAATTTTGATTACTTTTCCAAATTGAGTTTTGATTTCATTAAGGAAAGACTTAAAGATAGGCAATAGTTCGGAACGATCTTTCATAAGATAAACCCAAGTACATCTAGAAAACTCATCAATAAAAGTAACAAAATATCTAAAACCAAAAGATGAAACACGACTAGGTCCCCATATATCCGAATGAACAATACTAAAAGCAGTAATCACATCTAGATTCGTAATGATTTGGAAAGGATGGCCTGGTATGTTTCCCTAGTTGACGAGCTTCACATTCAAAAGTTTGAAGGTTCGAAGTTCAGGAACCATTTTTTTCAATTTTGCTAAATGAGGATGCCCTAATCGCTCATGTAACAGCTTTGGGGATAAGGATGCAACACAAGATACGGATGACTTAGTACTAAGGTAGTATAAGCCTCCAGATTCATGTCCTTCTCCAATCAGTCGACCCGTACTCACGTTCCTGGATAACAAAGCAATTGGCATTAAAGGTTACTAAGCAATTCAATGATTTGGTTAATTGGCTTACGTAAACAAGACTGAATGGAAAAGAAGGAACACAAAGAACATTTTGAAGGTTTAAAGAAGAAGAGATGGATACTTGACCAATTCCTTTAGAGGCTACTTTAGATCCATTAGCTAAAGATATGAGATGGGATGTTTTAGGAAATGAAAGAGAGGAAAATAAAGAGGTATTACCGGACATGTGGTCGAAGCACTCGAGTCAATAATCCACGGATTTTGACTTTCCACAGATTGCGAAATGCAAGCGGTTGATGAATTTGGTGTTGTAGATGCTTGAGCCAAATTGGTTGATTTCATCCTTAAATATTCTTGATACTCTTCATGAGAGAACTTGGGCTCATCAACTTCGCATTTTGAGGTATTAGTCGCCTTATCGTGAAAGCCGTGCGAGCAAAGCAATTTTCCTTAATATGTCCCATTCTTTTGCAATGAGAGCACCGAGGACGTCCTTTCCCACCACGTCCTCTAGAGCCGTGATTACCTCTTCCACGAGCGTAAACCATGGCGGAAGAATCAGCAAGTTCTCGATCGTTTTTGCTTTTGATAGAAGGAACACGAAGTAGCCTTGTGATTAAACTCTCCGTAGAAGGAACTTCTTCTCCGAGTTAGAATCGGTCTCTAACATGATTAAACTCTGGATTCATAGCCCTAAGAATCATTACCATATAGAATTTATCCAGCTTCGTCTTTCTTTCTTCTAATGATTCTCGCCTCCAGGAACATTTTTAATTCTTCAACAGTGATCGAGCTTCGAGCAACAAAGGACATCATGGAATTATCCTCTTGCTTAAGGGAGGCTAGTCTATTAGCGAGAATCATAAAGTCGTTGAATATCATTAGCAAAGATATTTTGGGCCTTTTTCCAAAAAGAATTACATGTCTTAAAGGCTCGAAGAGTGCTCAAAATATGTGGTTCAACAGATTGCCATAATAGTGCACAAAGTTGATAATCCAGTTTCTTCCATTGAGGAGCCCGATCTGCTGGTATAGCACTCCCATCTTCTTCTAGATGATCATGAACTCCTTGACCTAGAAACCAGAGCTCAACAGAGGAAGCCCAAGACAAATAATTTTTTCCATTTAATTTTTCCGTGGTTATAGTTGGAGTCCCGAAAAAGATACGCATACGCTTCCGACATTTTCCAGGAAACAAGAGAGGACCAGCCGTGTCGTTAGAGTGCTCGTCGAGAGAGGACCGAGAGAGGCAGAGAGAAAACGCAGACCCACCACGTTTTGTGACCGACAACACAAAACAAAGTGCGAATCCGGCACCGGGACGACGAGGCGAGCCGGATAGAGGTGGCCTCGGAGCAAAACAGCCACCGAGAGGACGGCGCGTGAGGCCCACGCGCGGAGGAAGCCGCGGACAAGGGTGGCGCGTGGAGGCGCGTGAGGCAGAGATAGAGGAAGCGAACACTGGGGTTGGGTCGCGCTCCTCGAGGCGAGCCAAACCCAAGTGTCAGAGAGGAAAACGGCGCCGGAGAAGACAGCACCGGCGGCGGACGGCGGCGGACGGCGGCGGACGGCGGCGAACGGCGGCGAACGGCGATTAATGCCAGAAAAATAACAGAGACAGGCAGAGCGGGATGAACCCGCTCTGATACCAACTTAAAATAGAAAAAGAAAATAAAGAACTGATTTTGAGAGCCTGAAATCATCTTCTTGTGTTCTCTTATTTATAGGAGATAAAAATACAGATTCAGAGATACAATAAATAGAGAGACATGATTACTCCTAGAGAAGATAAACAGATGCATTCTAGGAACTAGGTCTACAATTAATCTCATAAATGTCCAACAAGATACACTTAATCTAATAAATACTTCAACATAAATGTTGTTGAACCAAACAAGGCAAAACATTGGTTGGTTTATTCTAGAAGAAAGAAATATGTTAATAAAAGTAGTTAGAAGTTATTAGTTGTTTCTGTTCAACTGTTTCTGTTTAACTGTTCATGATCAACTATTAATAAGAGATGATAGAAGTGCTTTGGGGGAGGATAAGTTTTAGGAGGGTTGTTTTTGTAAATCTGGCAAAGAACCTTTCTCTGAGGAGCCTAGCTCTGGAACTTGCTTGTATTCTTGTATCTGTTCTGGAATTCAAGAAGATTTTCTTTCATTCTTTCTTCTTTATCTTGGCATTTTCCCTTAAAACCTATCATTAATCCTCTCCTTCTATAGTGATAATCTACTATCCATTTGATCCATTCCCTTTGCTAGGGATTCTATAGGACTTCTACAAATTTTCCACAATGGATGCTAGCATAACTTTCTCTCTAATACATTCACTATCCCACTCCTTGTTAGATTTAATCTCAAAACCAATTTACATTAAGTAAAGTTGTCCGATAGAAATAAGCAACATGCCAAAAATTTAGGCAGACAGTATGTGACATCCCAACAACCCCTCCACCGATACCTATTAGAACAAGTGATTTACCAAAATGGGCTATAAGTTTTGATACCAACTTAGAAAGTGAATTTTAAACGTAAAACCAACGTTGAAATTTTGAGTTAGGCTTAACATCCATGTGTTAAGTCTCATAACCCTATCTTATTTAGTAAGTCCGCCCATCTAGCAAAACATTCTTGTCTTTGCCATATTGAACTTATTCTCTTATTGGCTCTTTACCACCCAATACACAATTCCATGCATAACAAATATAGGATTAGCCATGACCATTGATGAATTCTCATGCACCAATAAAGTTGGAATATAACCAATAACATTTTTTGAACTATAAATTGCCATCCAAAATTACATATGTGGCACTTAGCATAAAAACAGTAAAATTTTAATAACATGCCACTTAATCTCATCCTATCAAGCTTAATATCCTCTCCTAGGTAAAATCAACAATTAAATCTAATAGAAGGAATATGTACATGTGACAAATACAACACAACCGCTCCATATAATCTCTCAAAAAGTTCTCCCATCTCTTTATGTGGCATTATTCCCTTACTACAGTTGCTTGCCCTAATTAAGCTGCTTTTGGATCATTTTTAGAGAGGGTTGTAGCATTCAAACCTAATATCAATCAATACTTCAGCCAAAGTAATCTTCCGCAGATCCCTTTTATTCTCCAACATGTTATAGATGCTTTGTACCTCTTTACACTATTACCAAAATATTCTCAACAATTCTAGATTCACCAGAAAAATTTGTGCCAATTAACTTTATCTTATTAGTAATATGTAACAATTTGATTGAGTATTCCTTGATGTGTCTTAGAAACTTTCATCCTTTACTATTCAAATTCCCTCATTAAATCAAGCACCTACATGCTTGAATTTTTGCATCTCCGAAATATTCTTCCTTCAAATAATCTCAAAGTTGTTTTGTTTATTTGAAAGCCATGATTCTTATGGAGATGGTTTGAGAAACACCAACAAAAAGACACCCTATTTCGTTTGTCTTTATTCGATTTCTATCGTTGTAGTTTTTTATTTGGATCATTGTAGGATTACTTTTGTAGAAGCTATATAACATTGAAATGGTATGAAAACCACAATATCACAAAAAATTAAAAAGTAATAGTAGTTTCAAGATTTCAAGCAGGATTCATTGACAAACCCTAAATCACCTCAAAAGAGCAATAGTGAGGGTGCTACGTGACATCCCTAAGACAAATGCTCGAAAATGATTCATAACTACAGCATGTAAACTTTTTTTTCATGCCTCAACACTGCCATAGCGGCCACTTTGGCTGATACTGATAACATGGATTCACTTATTGTGTTTTACTCTCAACTTTCCTTTTCAGCCTTAACCTCAAAATGTAATTTTACCTTGTTACCAGACACGTTTTTTCCATGGAAAGGAGGTACACATTCTAAACCATACATTTGTAGACTAATTCTTTATTTCCTATTCCATGCTTAATTCATAGGAGGCATGCCCATTCATGAATCTTACTCAAATTCATACATAAATTCTCAGGATGATTTATGTATATAGGTGTGTGTAGAGAGAGAACAAGAAGGAGGAAGATGAGTTATTCAAGTACCTCACGTGAGATAAATATCTCCATATATCCAAACTCCAAGAAAGCTTCATATGAATAGTAACTGAGGCAAATAACAAGGTATTGGAATTAGTAGAAAGGATACAAAGGTAAAATAAATGTAGAAAGGGCAGCACCAAATATTAAATCAATAGAAATGTAACATAAGAAAAGAATTCAGAATACATGAATATGTATAACATGAAAGTCAACCAAGACCCAAGACCATGAAAAATCTTTTAAATGTTGAGTATACATGTGTTGAATATAGAAGAAAAACTATATAGGGATAATCTACCTTGTGTATAAACCACACATACGGTAATCTATTTATAATAGAGAGAGGTACAACTAAAAAAATAACTGAAAGTAAACAGAATAAATAGAAGATATTGTTTGATATTGTGGTTAACAATATCTAACAATATCTTAACAATATCAAACAATATCTAAACAGTATCTAAACAATATCTCACACTCCCCCTCAAGCTGAAGCATACAAATCGTATGTGTCAAGCTTGTTACAAATATAATCAATTCTAAACCCCCGTAAAGACTTAGTAAAAATATTTTCTAACTGATCACTTGAATTAACAAACTCAGTCTTGATGTCTCTAGACATAATCTTTTCCCGAATGAAATGACAGTCAATCTCAATGTGTTTGGTCCTCCCATGAGAGACAAGATTAGAACTAATATGAAAAACAGTTTGATTGTCACACACAAGTGTCATTTGAGTGACATCTCCAAATTATAACTCTCTAAGCAATTGCTTAAGCCAAACAAGTTCACAGACAGCTGAGGCCATAGCTCTATATTCTGCTTCTGCACTAGATCTTGCCACAACACTTTGTTTCTTACTTTTCCACGAGATCAAATTACCACCAATGGAGACACAATACCCAGATGTAGATCTTCTATCAGAGGGAGATCCTGCCCAATCAGCATCTGAATAGCAAAAAACTCTTGTATGGTTATTGGAACCATACAACAAACCTTTTCCAAGAGACCCTTTGATGTACTTTAACATACGGATGATTGCATTCCAATGATCTTGACATGGAGAATTGAGGAATTAACTCACCACACTGACTGCAAAGGAAATGTCAAGACAAGTAACTGTAAAATAATTTAATTTTTCAACCAATCTTCTATACTGCTCATGATCTGACATAGGCTCCCCCTGATTTGGCAAGAGTTTGGTATTAGGATCCATGAGTGTGTCAACAGGCTTTGAATTCATCAACCCAGTTTCCTCCAAAATATCCAATACATACTTTCTTTGAGATATAACAATGTCATCGGTAGATTGTGTCACCTCAATACTCAAGAAATATCTGAGTTTGCCATAATCTTTGGTTTGAAAATGTTAGCAAAGGTGTTGTTTCATCTGGGAGATGCCATGATAGGCACTGTTGGTAAGAACAATGTCATCAACATACACTATCAAATAGACACATCCAACACTTGAGTGACGGTAAAAGACTCAGTGGTTTGCCTCACTTCTAGTCATGCCAAATTGTTGAACACTGCTAAATTTGCCAAACCAGTCCCTAGGAGACTGTTTTAGGCCATATAAAGATTTGCGAAGATGACATACCAATCCAGAAGACTCCCCCTGAGCAACAAATCCGAGTAGTTGCTTCATATAAATTTCTTTTTGTAAATATCTATTAGGGAAAGCATTTTTGACATCCAATTGATAAAGAGCAGCCATAGTGATGAATAAACGAACAGAAGTCATTTTTGCCACTGGAGAGAAAGTATCACCATAATCCAATCCAAAAAATTGGGTATAGCCTTTGGCTACAAGGTGAGCTTTGAGGTGATCAATAATACTATCAGGACCAACTTTGATAGCAAAGACCCACGTGTAACCAATAACAAATTTTCCAGATGGTAATGGGGACGAGCTCCCAAGTTCCACTATTCTGAAGAGCACTGAGTTCATCTAGCATGGCTTGACGCCAACCAGGGTGGGCTAAAGCTTTAGGGACAGATTTGGGAATAAACACAGAAGAGATAGACGAGAGGCACGTATAAAAAGGTGAAGATATTCTATGGTAACTCAAAGCAGTATAATGTGGAGAAGGATTACGAGTAGAACGCATACCTTTACGAAGGCAACAAGAAGGTCAGATAAGGAAGGAAAAAGGTTAACCGTTCCAACACCATGAGCTAAAGTTGTAGACCCATTAGCCATTGTAACAGAGGGTAAATTATAGGCAGAGGAGAAAGAGAAAAATAAGGATTTGTTACAAGTAATGTGATCTATGGCTCCTGAGTCAAGAACCCAAGGGTCAATAGAAAAAGATTGAGTCAGACCAGCAAAAGATGTACCTGTGTGTGCAACAAAAGCAGTGGAACTAGAGCTCTTACGATCCTCATACCATTTAAGAAAATCATTGAAGATGGCATATTTGTCTAATGTCGGGGGAGTAGATGAAGGAGGATCCACAGCAGATGATTGTGAGGAAGGATCAGTCTGAACAACGACAGTAGATCGAAGAGGACGACCATGTAAAGCATAACATCTGTCAATTTTGTGGCCTAGCTTGCCACAATGGTCACACTTGTGATGCCCTTTGCCTGGCTTGTGAGAGCGATTGCGATTATCACGTTGAGATGCCAAAACAGAGGAATCATTAGTAAAAACAGGGGGATCATTGAGGGGTTTATATGGCACACGCAGAAGGGAGGAACTCGTAAAGTAAAATTGGGTGTAACAGGGGAACCCAAAATCTGGTCACGGACATGGGAATATTTATCAGCAAGTCCGTGTAACATTAAAACCATGAAAAACTTGAACCGTTGCTTTAATTCTTGGGCAGGAGTAGATGCAGGAGGTAATAACTCATTAAATTCATGGAGAAGAGCATGTATCTTACCCACATAATCCACCACAGGATCCTTATCCCGAGGAGCAGTAACATCAAAAAGGTTGTAATAAACACCATAAAGACATTGAGTGTCATTGGTGTATAATAATTTGGCTTGTTCCCAAACTTCAGAACATGTGTCATAAGATCGAAAAATTTGTTTTAAAGAAGATTGGATGGTATTCTTGAGAACCATGCATATATGAGCATTAATTTTCTTCCAGCTTACAAGATCACTAGAAGCAATATATCAGTTACCTTTTGAGTAAGATGATGAACATACCCCTAGCTCTCAAGCCAAAGTTTAATGTCTGACGCCCAAGTTGCATAATTCGTGTCATCTAACTTATCAATGGACAAATTCACATTGACATAATTAGTAAAGATTGACTGGTCAGACCCACTGGATCTGAGAGAAGAAATTTCAGAGTCAGAAGAGGCAGCGGAAGATGCCATGGAGGAAGAGAGAGAAAAACCCTAAAAACACCAAAGAGATCAGGTTGGAGCAACGAGAATAGATCCAAGAAGAGGGGAACGAGGCGAGTCCGACGCAGGTGGCAGCAGCCTGAACAGAGGGACCACACACCACCACACCCGGCGACAAGGCGAGACGGTGATGCGACTTTTGGTGGCGTGTGAGGGAGCGTGGCTGCTCCGATGACGGCAAAACTTCCACCATGGAGGTCGTGTGGTAGAGGCGAGCAAAACCCTGTGCTCGGCGATCCAAACGGTCACTCCGATGGCCGGGACGACGACGGCGGTGGTGGTGGCGGTGGCTACGATAGTGACTGTTGCAATGGCAGGGACAAAAAAAAAATTCCCAAAAAACCTTAAGCTCTAGATACCATGTTGAATATTGAGGAAAAAACTGTATAGGGTTAATCTCCCTTGTGTATAAACTACACATAGGGTAATCTATTATAATAAGGAGAGGTACAACTAAAAGAGTAACTGAAAGTAAACAGAAGATATTGTTTGATATTGTGGTTAACAATATCTAACAATATCAAACAATATTTAAACAGTATCTAAATAATATCTCACAACATGCAAAATGTTTGATTCACTACAATAAGACACAATCATAATTGACGGGCTGAAATCACCACAAAATATGGTTGCTACAAAAGTAATGAATTAACACACATAGAAAATACCAAAATTGAGTCTACTTATTCTGGTGTTGGCATCTAGTAGTGGCCCTTTTTTATCATTTGATACAAATAGTTTCCCCATAGTCAGAAGTTGATATATCTATTAAAAAGATTGAAGTGCCTTTTATGCAAAAAAAGTAATTATGTGAAAAGTTGACAACCACAAGATACCAAATGGGTTCATCGTGAAACAAATGACCTCACTAAGCAAAAATGTCTAAGCGATTAAAAATAAAAAAATTGAATCAAAGTCTACAGTTTTAGAATTTTGTGCGGCAACCTGTGATGTAAGGAGAAGGAAGGAAATAAAGTTTAACTTAAGAAAATAACCTATCAGATGTCACCAGGATAACAGGCAGACAGCGCTCATTTGCACCCAAAGCAATTATTCTCCATATCAGACTATCATGATATAGGGGTCCACTGACTGTTGACTCGGAATTTACAGTGGCATGCTTTAGAACTTCAATATTGTTGATAACCAGCTTTGGCTGCAGTTACTTGAATATATCATCAGTTTGAACATCTCAAGTCACAACACACTATACAAAAACAAGCAATCCAATATCACTTCATAGCATAGATAAATAGGCATCAATCTTACAAAAGAAAATCATTTCTGGTTGCATACTAGAGTGAAATGCATCTTTAATATATTCAATAATTTGTTTCAAGGTTTACAATTATGTTCCAAAACCACAACTGCAGCTGCAAATCATGGTTTTGGTGGTCTTCGCAACTGCAATTGAGGCTACATCTGCCACAATTGCCTGCAATTAAAAGAATGGCATCCATGAGTGCAATTAAAAACCTTGATTAATTGAGTATTTTGCGAAAACAAACTTCATTTACCTGAAAATGGTCAATTTCAGCAGCTTGTGACAAGAACTCCAACAACAAGCAAGGCCAATCAGTACAAGAATGCGTCAAAGTCCTGGAGAACAGGCCAGTGCGATTCATGTGAGTAATGGCATTTGCCCTCCACCCTTGCTGAAGCGCTATTATCTTCTTCGCCAGCTTCAGTGCCGCAACCGATTCCTTCATGTAAGAAGCCTCCTCAAAGGACAAGCCATTCTTCTCATTCTCCCCAAATCCCAAAATCCGACCAACCTCGGCCGTGGTACATTCCCTGGACATGGCGAATACGGCACGTTCCCATAGCGCTGCAGGGGAAGCCCGGTCCGAAGCACGGGACTTGCTCTGCAGCACGTGGCGAAGGGCGGCGGTGAGGCCGTGCCATTTGTTGAGAGTAGTGAATATTTGTTGGGAGGTGATGGTTCCTGCGCTGACACCCTTCTCGACCATGGACTCCACGCAATGCTCCAAGATTTTGCGGCAATCAGAGAGGCGGGGCTGAGGACAGGTGGACCAGGAGGCCCACGGGCCGGGTGATGTGCCCAGGTTGCCTTTCATAAGCTCCGCAAAGTCAACGTAACCGGTGAGATGAGGGCCTTTGTTCCAGTCAGGGAGTAAACCTGCCAAGAAGAATGGAAAAATGTGAAATGGGTCTTAGAGAGACAATATAGATAGATAGATATATATATAGAGAGAGAGAGAGAGAAGGGCACGTTGGAGAATGAGGGTGGTTTTGCCGACGCCTCTGGGGCCGTGAAGGAGGAGGGGTTGGGGTACTCGGTGGTGCTGCGCGTGGTTGTTGAGGATGGTTTCTAGGAGGGGTCTCGGAATGATTCTCCATGGTTTCTTTGCTGCCATTTTGATCTCTGTGAAATGGCAGGGAGAGACTTCTGCCTCTGCTTTCTGGTGCCTACAGCTGCACTTTAGCTACAAATGATTATTAGGGGTTTGTTCATAGGGTTCATTCCAACAGAGGAAGGAATCGATCATTTTTTATTTTTATTTTTTCTCATTTCTATAAGTTGCTTAAGGTTAAGTTCTACAAAATTTGCAAAAGGAAAAACGTGAAAAATGAAAAATTAATGGAAGAATAAAAAGTTTCAAATATTTTGGAGTGTTTCTTCAAACTTATTCTTTTAAATAAAAGTATATTTTATCTCAATATTTTTTTTTAAATTTATCTTCATTTTTTATATTTTATTAATTGATAAATTTAGTTTTTTTAATTTTTAAAAATATATACATAAAATTATATTTAATATTGGAGTTGTATAATTTAATTCATTCAACAATCAAGTCATATATATTAGACTAATCTAGATATATATAACATATTGTTAAGATTAACTTTTTTTTTTTTTTAGGATACATTTTCGCTTCAATATTCTTATAAAATATCTTTATATGATTTTTAACTGTTAGAGAAATTTCAAATCTATTGTATAATTAAGAGTTCCTATATCAATAATTTATTTATGTTTGCTTGTGAACCTGTTATCACTATAATACTTTAGGTTAAATATCTTAAATATATATATATATATATATATAATATTATTCAAATTATAACCCTAAATCTCTTACAAATTCTTTTAATTCATTTTAAAAATCCTCTTATTTTAATACAAGAAATTAGAATTTTAAATAATTAAAATTAAATTTAATCAATTTATAAAAATTACAAACGGACACCCTAATTTTATTCACAATATTTACAGTATAAATCTAATTATAATTAATTTATAAAAATTATAATATTCATAATTTATAAACTTTAAATTTTGTCTATAATATTTACAATATATTATATTATTAAAAATATTATCAAGTGTTTATTTTTTTACCTAATATATTATCAACCAGTTACAAAATACACACTAATCCATGAAGCTTTTTGCTGTTTGTTTCATACTTTTAAGCATTTGCTTTTAAAGTATGAATTGTCAGATATTTGTTCGTTGGGTCAAAACCAAAGGCTGTGAACAACCTTGCACCGTGTTTAGATCACGTCACCTACTACATTGTTTTATTATTTAAAAATAAGATAAGATTTACAATGCTACCCCATTAAAATTTGGTCTTAAAAGGGAGTGCTTAGTATTAGTTATTTGCAGTTACAATTAATTATATTTAATCTAATTGACCACATAACATAACAGACTATTCTAATAAAAATGCCAAAGGCTGCACATATATAGTTCCGTCTTTGACAGGATTCATGTTTAAAAATGGATTTATTATTTGAAATTTGTAATAACGTAAAACTTCACTTTTTATGTATCATTGTTATAACTGTTTTTATGTTTTTTATGTAAATATTAAAAATTTAATAGACGTGGCAATCATGTTTTCAGAATACATTTTTCCATTAATTCTCATTGTTTATGGTTTTAGCACGTTCCCCATAGATTCTATTTTGATAATATATGTTTATATATTCAACATGTGAATGATGATAGCTGGTATTGAGATGTCATGGTTCATAGTGATAGTTTAGATGAGAGTTTTCATTTAAAAAAATAATAATTAAAAATAAAATATCATATTTTCAACTAAGTCAAATGATTAGTTCTTAAGGAAGATCAAACCTAAAATATCATTAGGTAACCATAAAAATAAAATTTCGAATAAAGTAATGGATTTCCCGGAGACAGAAAAAAAGTGTAAGAACATATAAAATGTTCGTTTTATATAAAAACAAAACTATGTATATGGTGAATATTCTTTAAGCAAATAGAATTTTATTTTTATAATTTCCATTTTATTTAATATATAAGATATACTATGACGACGAAACTTTATCTATGACTAAAGGAAATACCAACCAATAAAACGTAACTTACATTCTGATTATACAAATTTTATTGATATATTGACACCACTGTTCATCTCAAACATCAAATAACAACTCATTTTAATAATAATAAAGATAATTATAAAATTAATAAAAGTAGTTGTTCAATTGTTTTTAAAATGTAAGTTGTCAATTTAGTATTTATCATTTTATCCAATGATGAAATCTTATAACAATCAACGTTTTATAATTTTTTTATTTGTATTTCAATTTTTCTTTAACTTCAAAAAATAATTTAAATAATAAAATATTATATTTTATTACTAACATCAAGCATTTATTTTTAATTTTATATCATAGTAGCATGTTTATATTAGTTAAACTTTTTTTTACCCTTTTATAATTTTTTTTCCATATTTACTTTTTATTTTTCTCTCTCATCTTCTTAATCTTTCTAATTAAACTATTATCTTAAAATTTAATAAAAATATATTAAAATAAATATTTTAAAATCAACAATAAAACTAAAAAATAACTAATTATTTAAAATTACGATAATAATATTATGACAATAAATAATTTTATTTAGATGACATAAATAATTAATTTAAAATTATTTTTATAATAAATCATTAATTTAAAATTATTTTTATAATAAATAATTACTCATCTAATTAAAAAATATCAAATATTTAATTTAAATGTATTTTTTATTTAATTATTTAATTTAGTTATAATTAAGTTGAGTTATGATTATTAGTTAAATTAGATAATTTAAAAAACATATTTATTAAAAAAACTAATTTAAAATAAATATTTAATTTTTTTAATAATTATAATATAATACTAATATTTATAATATCTCATATTTATTATATAATATTTTTTCAAATATAATATATTAAATTATAATATTTTTGAATCATTTAAATATTTTTATTTTTCAAAAATAATAAAAGATCCACTTTATTAAATTTTAATTTTAATTTTTAATTACTTAAAAAATAGAATAAAAGAAGAATTAAGAAAGGAGTAAAAGGAAAGATAAATAAAATAGAATAATAAAATATAAACGAAGAGAGAAAAAATTTAAAAATAATTATATTATATTAGAAAAATTTATTTATTTTTATGTATCAAAATAATATATTATTTATGAAATTAAAATAGTGGATAATACTAACATGCTTACAAGGCCCTATCGTGTTTATCTTTACAGTTACATGAATAATCTCAGTTATTTTTTCAATTAACAGGCTTCAGCGGATATTTTAATGAACACCGTGTTAGGAAACTAGAGGATTTTATTTTATTTTATTATTTTATTTTTTACTTTTCCTCAAACAAAGGTTAAGATGTTAAAGCAGGTCATGGATGATTGATTATATTTGAGATGAATTTAAACTAATTTTATTAAAATTAGAGGACGTATACACAGCTTATAAAAATCTTATTCTCCCCTCAGGAGACTTAAGCTTCCCAACCTCTGAGAAGGGTAGCACGAGCAACACGGTTGACTCCAAGAGTGAAAGCTCCCATTCGCAGATCGCAGTTATGAATCTTACACATCGCCTTTATGTCACCGAAAGCTCTCGTCATATACTTCTTCAACTCATGGTTCACTTTCTCTTCATCCCACATGAAACCTTGGATATTCTGCAAAATTCGTACAATCATATTTACTAATTCAAATAAATACATACATACCACTTTTAACATCAATTTTGATGATCATGTTTACCTGAACCCATTCGAAATAACTCACAGTCACTCCACCAGCATTGGCATAGATGTCAGGTAATATGATAATTCCTTTCTTAGACAAAATCTGCAGAAGAATCACATGTTATGTCATTACATTATCATATATAATGTCTGACGTCAATGAACTTACCTCATCTGCTTCAGGGTCTGTAGGATGATTTGCTGCTTCTATTATAAATTTTGCTTTCACATCAGCAGCATTTTCCCTTCAAAAATAATTTGGCAAACTTAAGGTAATTAAAAATAATAGCAAAAATAAAACTAAATAAGAGGATTTAGTCTGCAAGATAAGATATAACTAAAACCACTTTTAACAATCGTAGCATTAAACCCCATGACTCATGTCAAGGGATTAATGTGCATTAAATAAAGTTCAATGGATTGACGAATTGGCTAAACTAATTGTCAATATTCCTTAACAGATAATTTTCATTTTAATTGGTGAAAACAAAGACAGACATTCATACCTATTTAGAACTCCACCTAAGGCACAAGGAATAAGAACGTCACATTCATGAACAAGCAACTCATTCGGATCCATTACTTCTGCATCTGGGAAGCCCTTCAAGGTTCCATTGCCTCCATTGACATCATCCTTGTATTTCAGAAGGCCAGGGATGTCGATTCCATTTGAGTTTTTGATAGCACCGCTGATATCACTAACAGCAATCACCTTTCCTCCTCTTTCAAAAATAGACTTGGCAGCCCATGTACCCACATTTCCAAAACCCTGGTGTGATTCACATCAAATAGATGTTGAAAGTGGGATAGATATGAACACACTATATCATCATGTCATGGCAGTAAAATATTACCTGGATAACAAATGTTTGATCAGAAATGGACTTCCCATATTCAGCAAACAAAGCTTCCGTTGCAAAAACTACTCCGAGACCTGTGGCAGCCTCTCTTCCCAACGATCCTCCAATATTCGAAGGCAAATTTCAACCCTAAACTCAAATTTCCTCATCATAAGAACATAACGTAAGTGCATGAATATTTGATACTTACAATAGGCTTCCCGGTCACAACTGCAGGTGAATGACCGTGAAACTTAGAATATTCATCAAGAATCCATGCCATGGTCTGTTTCAGTGAAAGAATGAGAGGATATATCATATATGAAACCATTAAATGCTATCATTAACAAAAATGCTATTATCAGTACCTGGGCATTAGTTCCCATATCTGGCGCAGGAACATCCCTTTGAACACCGACGAGATCATGAATCTTTTGAGTGAAAACTCGGGTAAGACGTTCTAACTCACTCAGGCTCAGATCCCTAGGGTTGCAGCCTAT